ACGTTAAAGAGACCAACATTTGATACGGCTTTAGAATTGCCAAAGCCTAAATGTAAAGAACTATTAAAAAAGTTGAAAACAGTTACACTTACTGATAAGTGTAATAGCACACTAAAAGAAGTTTTGCCTACTAAACTGGAAAACTCAATGAGTTTTTGCATTCCATGTTTTATTAGTCATTAATTTTTTAAAAAGCATTACGTAATTTAGGGTTAAGTATAAATTTAATGTAACTTGGAGTAGGAGAGTTGAAATCTCCAACATTTAGCATTTGATTTGCAAATAGATCTTGCAAGCACAATAAAGAGTGGTAGAAAATGTCTTGCTAAAAGTTGGTAACTATGCATTTTTTGTGAATTTTATAGTATTTGATATAAATGATAGAAAAACCTTTATCTTTCTAAGTGGATTAGTTTTAGCAATCGCTAAGGCCTTAATTATTGTTTTCAATTATAAGGTAATACTGAGATTTAAAAATAAAAGGATTACCTTCAAAACTAGATGCTAAGGAATCATTAGGAATATGGTTAAGATACAAGGAATGTTTCACATAAAAGAGGAAAGAAAAGAAAAATTAGTCTATAAGAATCTATTTCAAGACCAATTAGGAAAAAACCAATCCAAATATCCAAGTTTGAAAACACAATCAACCTATATTATTCCAACTAAAAAGAAATAGAAAGTGAAGACACAACTAAAAAAGGGGTAAACATGAATGAAGTCTTGTAATTAGTCTAGCTATAGATTATAATTAAAGTGCTATTTGAGAAGCAATCTAAGGTTTTACATTCTTGTTCTTATTATTTTCTTTATGCATTAGGATAGGTATGCTTTGATTTGTTTCTTTGTTTTTATTTTATAAGAATGAAAAGAAATTGAAGAAATTAAATAAGCTTGGAAATTCAACCATGAGAACATAGATAAATGAGTCTTTTTTTTCTTTAGCAATTAATCACTTTATTCATACACATTAAGGACAACGTGTGATTTAAGTGTGGGGAGAAAACTATTGAAATTTTGTGAAAAGTTTTTTCAAAACTTTTTACTAAAAATTATTTTATTCTAAGCTTAAATGAATATGATTTAAGTTATTATGATGCTTTCTTAGTCATTTTTTCAAAAAGTCCAACACGATTGTCTTTCAATATAATTTTGAAAAAATATAAATGTAGTAAAAACATAGGATAACCTATTGAGCATGATTCTTTTATAATGCTAATTTTTCCAATTATAAGTACTTTAATCTAAATCTTGGAAATACATAAATCTTATGCGAGTATGCAATTACATAAATATTTGAAGCGTGCGCTTACTTTAAAATTTGCTTAATCATCTCTTACAGTGAAAATCCTATACTGAACTTAATTAAAAAAATGATCTATACCATATTTGAATAGTTTGAGTCTTTCAAACCTACCCTTGTATGATTTATACTTAATCATCCTTTCTTTGTTTTTCACCTACATAGTTTAACCTAACCTTTTTCTTGATACTTATTTATTTTTTCACTAAAGCCATTTTGCTTAATAGAAAATATTTACAAGTGGGAGGAAAAGAAGAACTAGTAAACAAAACAAAATTTTATGGCAAAGCAAAAGTTGTCCAAAAAAAAGAAACAGAAAAAATGAAAAACACTTAAGATAGCCAAGTACCAAGCAAATATTATGTGATAAGGTGACATTACATTTAGATAACATGTGATGTAGCATATGACATAGTCAAAATATATGTATGTTTAAACCATACAAGCTAGGTTCGGCCAAGTAAGATTTTGAAGCTTAAGGAAAGTTCGATAATACATGTTTCATGCAAGAACAAGATAAAAATTAACCAAAAAATAAAAAAAATTTAAAGTAAATCAAATCTCAATTCAAAAGAGTCTTTCATACAAAGAAAAGCTAGAAAAATCCAATGCAATCCATTCAAATTAGCCAAATCTCCTTTTGTCTCACATATCTCATTCAAATTTAAATGAAATGATTAGGATATCATGGCTAAATAAGTAAGAAAAAAACCAATAAAAAACAAGGAATTGGCCTCACAAGCTATTACATAGAATGTTGAAAGTAAGAGGAACTTCCAATTACATTTTCATCCATTAAACTTAGAAACTTTTTGAAAAAACTTATGATGGTTCAAAATTTTTTAAGATCATCCCATTTTCACCCCATTATCACTATAGGTAAAGGTGCTTAGCTAAAGGAGAAACACACCTCTCTACACTTCTTTTTTTCATTCTCTCTTAAATGTCAACTTTGGTATTTAATTAGCAAAAATTTCTTTTTGTATTTGGTTTGAGGTGACAGCCCAACCAAAATCTTTTGAAGTTTTGTTTAATTTTTTTTTTAGTAAAATTCAAGTTGTTTAAGTGTTTTTTTTTTCTTTCTTGCAAGAATTTCAATTCGAACTTTCTTCAAGTTGCTACTTTAATTTCTTTTAAATACTTTTTCATTTCAGCTTGTTCATGCAATGACTATTTTCCTTCCAAAATGTTATGTTCATTCTTTAAGCACATTCAACATTTCTTTCTTTCATGCATATTCAATTATTTTGATACAATAGCCTATTTAGCTTACATTATTTCTTTGATACAATACTCTATTAAATTTACAATATTTAAGTTACTTCTCACTTCAAGTTTGATTTAATAGTCTTATTAGCTTTAGTTTATGCTTTTATGTTTCTCATGCACTCTTAGTCTATTTTTGCTCTAATTTGTTATAGTTTTACTCAAGCACTTCCTAAAACATCTTTCTACCATTTTCCAAATATGAAGAAAAAGAATACAATTTTAATAGTTAATAGTTTTCTTCATAAAACATCTATATACTCGATGGAATGATACTTTCTCATTACTTATATACTTAATTAAAATCTATGCACTTGCAGGAATTCAATTAGCAACAATCGTAACCTTAACTTTTTCTTATCTTGCAATCTTTTTTTTTATATATATATTTCATTCAATGACTCTTTCTACGCATCAATCTCTTGTGGGACATCACCAGGTTTAAAACTTCTATTCTTCATTTTCTATCTAAACTCATTATATTGTACCTTTATTTCCTTTGTCCCATCATTCTTATTATTTAACACCCATTTATCCTCCATAAACTTTTTTTCATCATAACTATCTAATTTATCCTTACAATCCCCATCATTTTTAAGTCATTGTCTTTGTCATCATTTTCTAAGTCATCATCTTCTCTATGACATCTACCCATCATTATTTGTTGGATCATATTTTGTTGAAGCATCATTTACAACACTCTATGATACACCACCTACCACATTCAATTCAACATTTGGTAGATTTGGGTCACATGGCAAATTTGGGTTATTTGGCAAATTTGGAGGTATATAAAGAAATTATATTACTTTTGATATAGAAACTTCATGCTTTACATAAAATAAATAATTGTCTTACACTTGTAATTGGTTTATCACACTAACAAATTATGCATTATCATAAACTACCCTAAGACTATTCTCTAACTCATATCTAGGTTCAACATAAGAAAAGAATTTCACAAATACATAACCAACTTCTTTAACCATGTTAATCAACATTTCATAAGACAAAAAGTCAAGATCAATATTCCATTTAAACATATTCTTTTCCACATAGACTAAATTGAGGTTCTTTAAAAATTTTCACCTATATACATAAATAATTCATACTATACTTAAGCCATACTCTTGTTGCAACAAAAAAGTTTAATAAAAATTGATATATTATTAAACACTAACACTATTGTTGCAATAGTGCAGGTAAATATACTAAAACTAGGTTTCAAAAGTCAAAAAGAATAAAAGTAACACAATACAACATCATACAACACCCAAAAAATAATTAAAGTTAAAGATTTACATTTAACTTCTAGCATAATATTAAAAAACAAAAAAAAAGACTTAAACATTAAACCTATTTTTAATAAAAAATACAACGTCACATCACACAAAACAATATAAACAATATATTAAAATACAACTTGCAACCTTTCAAAGAAATATATAAAACAACTCAAAACATATCTCTCAGTTTGTAGGAACCAATATCAAACAAACTAATATATTAAAAGAAAAAAACCTAAATCCCAAATCAAACAAACCAAATAAATCACCCTAAACCCAAATACATATAATGTATATTCTCAATTAAGTTTATAGGATCCAACTTGAATATGATAGAAAAGGTAAATCAAATTCTCTCAATTTTGCATCAAGTACCAATTTCACACCAATTTGAATGTTTTATGATTCAAACCCTAACCCACAATCTATCCTCACTTCGAGGCCAAAATCATCAATCAAATAATATCTCACCCAACAACCTTCAAACTTTAATTTAAGTTTAAGTTTTTTTCACTTTACTTCTCTCAATAATTTTTAAAGTAATAAATTTTTTTTAACCAAAAGTTAGAAGACTACGAATTTACAATGATATGCTAAAAAAAAGCTCATGCGCTCTTTTTTTTTAGTTTGTTTTCCTTAATTTATGGCGTAGACTTTTTTATGACAAACAATAGCTTCTAATTGTTAGTAATTATCGTATCATAAAATTTGTGTTTGAAATGATGTGAATAATAAAACTTAAATTCAGATATCGATGTGAGAATTTAATTTTTTAGATAACAAAAAGTATAAAATATAAAGGACATTTTTATATTTAATCCTTTTGAGAAAATGTTATGTTGATAAAATATTGGCAGTTTTAGCTTAACTTCAAACTTGGTAAAATAGCCTTGATGCACGAATTAACAAACTCATCCTACATTAATGATTATTGATTATTGCAACAGAATTCCAAACTAGTAAACAAACCGTATGAAAACTATCACACACAAGTTCATCAGTTTATGCTTTGTTTTACTTGAGAATAAAATAAGTTTATGCTTTTTTCTACTTAAGAATAAAAGAAGTTTAAGATGCTAAGATTTAAATTTCAAACACACTAAATATCATCATTTAAAAGTAACTGCATAAACCAACTAAACTAATTTTCAAATTCTATCCCTTGATTTTTTTTTCTACTGAAGTGTGTGTATTAGTGTATCATCTATATCCTCCTACTCATAAGCTTTTACAATCCTGTTGAACTGAAATGGAAAGTGGCATAACGGCTTTATGCTAACAGGAGAGACCACACACACTTTTGTTCATAATCACCATAAAACAACCAGAATGTTACATCCAAATATGTCATAAACATGCATTGTCCAAGTATTACCCAAAAAAAAAAAAATGCGAGGAAATGGCAAGAGCTCATAACTTCTCCTCAAGTCTCTCAGATTCGGAATAAAGATAGGGTAAAATGCCTACTTCAACCCACTTTGCTGCCTGCCATCAGGAATTGCAATCAAAACCACAGGTTTTGAAGGTCTAACAAAGGGAACATCACATCTGAAGTAGCCTTTCCTCTCCAGCTGCAATATCTCTCCTTGCTTTAAATTGCGCATGTTGGAATCTCCAATTGCTGCTGTCTCCTTTTTTGTACATGGGTTTAGTACATCTAGGAAATCCTCTCCTTCTTCCAGCTGCATCCACAATAAATAAAAGTAAAGCCCTAAAATCCTTCAGACTAAAACACCATCCGCTTTTACTATCAGATCATCCTGGGCTAACAATGAACTACAGCATATAATACTCCCTTTCATGGAAAACCACGGTGAAAATCCCACATTTATGCAGAAAAAGTAGACTTAAGAATTCTGGGTTCAAATTCTAGCACAAAATTCACATTGTTAAAATTGTCAACAAGTACCAATAACCATAACATTAGTTTCTGCAACATTTGCAAATAATTTATGATACTGCAAAGTTCATTGCATACGTGACATTACAAATAGTTATACATGTTCGATGGCATCAATGAATGCCTAAACATAATCCTCTATGGTTTTTAGGATAGAAGTGGAAGAGAAACAATCCTGAGAGGATGTTATAGCGATCAAATTATCAGCCAGTAGTCAATACTAATTTTAAATCTGCAGGAGCACATGAAGATAGCATTCCAGTATTTAGTTTGTGCCAATAATTAATTTTAAAAAAAGACAAAATTGCACAAACAGTCTAGATGTAAGTTAATAGTAGAAATATACCTTCTTCTTTGTTATTAGATAGTCAAACTCCAATAAGGAAAGGTTAACAAGTTCACTTGTTTCTGCTAGCCACGTGAGCTTCAATTTTGTTGTCTTGACAGATCCTTCAAGATGCAAAACACCTACCAACTGGGTTATTTTTCCATCCTGGTCCTTAATAATTTCTTTCACAATGGCATTTCCCCAATCCATTAAGGTTACCTCCTCATCAACCGAGATGCACTCTCCATCAGCATAGTCTATCCATATCCTCCTCGTGTATGTAGTTGCCTTCTCTCCAGCACCATCATATTTCTTATGCCTTGGGATAATGCGAACAAATGGCTTATCAGGACCATTATTTAAGGTCAATAACAACCGTCGTTCTTCAATGACTGCTGTATGCCTAGGGCAAACAGGATCAACGATCTTCTTATTAATAGTCCAAAGTTTGTCCCATTCCATAAGATTGAGATTTTTCGATGCCCCCTGGAACAAAAGGATGGAAAATATTAATACTCAATGAAATCAAAGCCTATATTCTAAAGCAAACTACAATACTTCACAGAACATTCAGTCAGACAATATGAACGAAGCTATTAGGATTTAGGAGAACAAATGCAGATGCTAAATAGTAAGAGAAGATGAGGCAGGTGTATTAAAGGCAGTCTAAGCTAGCCTATAGCAAGGAAATAATCAATCATAGGCTTTGGATTGTGTTTAGGTTAACAGTTATGAAAACTTACCTGTTCCAAAATAAATTGAATCAAGGCTTCTATTTTCAGACCTCGCCGAACAATTCCTTGGACAGTTGGGAAACGGGGATCATCCCATCCATCTACTTTACCATTTTGCACAAACCAGAGCAGCTTACGCTTACTTAGAAGCGTATAGACCATATTCAATCGACTGAACTCATATATGTGTACCTTTCGCATTCCCATATCCTCCTGAATCTTATAATATTGAGCATTGCGATCGTGATACTCACTAGATCTGAGTGCATGTGTTATACCTTCTTCAGCATCAACAAATGGACAAGCAAAATCATAAGTTGGGTACAACTTGTACTTGGATCCAATTCGATGGTGGGGAACTGGATTGCAGCGGTAGTACACTGGATCCCTAAGAGATTTATTTGGGTCTTGCATGTCCAACTTCCCACGAAGGCAGCACTGCAAGCCTCTTTCAGAGCCAGCAATCATTTCCTTCCACAACCTCAAATTCTCCTCAACAGAGTTGCTCCTACATTTTGATTCAATGCCATCCATCCTTTCTTTCTGCATTTGCTCACGTGGTGTATCATCCACATAGGCTTTCCCTTCCTGTATCAACTTTTCAGCCATATCCATCAACTTTGGGAAGTAATCAGAAGTATAGGTGATCTCCTTATACTTGACACCCAATGTCTCAACATCTTTTATAAGATTCTCTACAAACTCATTGCTTTCTTTGGTGGGATTTGTATCATCAAAGCGCAAAATCACTTCACCTTGGTACCGTTCAGCAAAGTATTGATTTAACAAGGCTGCTTTAGAGTGCCCTATGTGAAGATAACCACTTGGTTCAGGAGCAAATCTCAATCGCACCTTTCCCATCTCGGCATAAGGAAGATCTATTTCAGATGAAGGCTTGCTACCTAATTTCACCTTATCAGAACTATTCCCATTCACACTCTTTTGCTCTTTTGGTGTAGCTGCTACAGGCTTTCCCAATCCTTTTTTGCCAACATACAAAGCAGTGACTTCCTTCAAGGCATCACTGTATTCTGCAGAAACAGAATTGTACCAGCGAACAAGGTTTGGGTATTTGTTTGACTTCCTCATGCTTTCCCATCTTATACCAGTTCCTACAGAGCATAAAATATTTGTTACATGTGCATAGATGGAAAGCATGGAGAGATTACCTTGAGCAAAAATGAAGTTTTAGAATAATGGTATACAAGATAAAATCATTTATGGGGCTAGTCAGCTAAGCCACCTTCCAAAAGAAAAATAATAAGAAATAAATGTGGCAGACCATTCACGGTTCGTGGCCAGTGAATTAACAGTGAAATAAGCTGAGGCATACATAAGAATAGGCAAAAAGTTGGATGATCCAAATGGTATCAAAATATAATAAAAAGGATGAGTTTTGAGGTTTACCTGCAAGACCTGACCAGATAGCTATGTCAGCAATGGAGAAATAATGAGAAACAAAACAGGTACGTTTCTCCAAATATGCATCCATGTAACCGCAAGCATTCTCAAATTCAGCACCACATGAAATGGTAGGAGCATACTCCAGCCACTCATCAATCTGGGAAAGCGAAAGAAAAGATATTATTGTTGTGAAGCACCATAGACACAGCTCAAAAGAACGATTTATTTTTCAAATAAAACCGAAAAATCTTGGGGGAAAACGTAAAAGATGCAGCGAATTAAAGAAACATACCTTGGCAGCATGGAAAGCATTGTCGCCGTAGAAATTAGGAATGGCAGCAACACGACCAATGTAACGAAGAATTACATAGTTTCCATGCAATTTGAGCCTATTTATTACACAGAAACAGAAAGGGTTAATTTTTTTTAAAAAAAAGAAACCCTAAAACATAAAATTGAATTAAAACTAAGAAGAAGGAAGCTCAAAAAAAAGTACCCATTTGAGAAAGACAAAGTGGGAGAAGCAGCGGAGGAAGTCTCAGTAGGTAAAGGGATTCCCGCAATCTTAGCGGCGGCAATGACGGAAAGTGGAGGGCTATCCGGTGGAAATGATAATAGCTTCAACTCTCCTTCCTTCATATTTAAAGGACAACACCTGCAATCAAGAACAAGAATTTCTATTTATACAGAGGAGAAAACGAATCTATAATTGTAAAACCCACGCTACAGCCTGAACCTTGGATTCTTATTTTTATTTTTATAATAATAAAATAACATTGATTCGATGGTGGATTATTCCTATAATGATAAAAATAGAAAAGAATATAAAGCAATTACCAGATCCGATTATGCTCTTAGTAAAAGAACCCAAAACCTTCCAAACTCCTTGATTGGAGATCCAGGTCCACAGGCATCAACAGACGCTTGAGCGACAGTGGTAGCTGCGCCGAACGTCAATTGACACCAAAAAAAAGGGAAAAAGGGAGAAGGAAGAAGGGAAGAACAGTGACGAAAAGCTAGAAAACCTATAACGGAGGAAGAAGGAGGAGAAGGAAAGAGAAAACGGCGGCGGCGACTACGAGTTTGGGTCTTGAGGGAGGGGCTGCAGAACAGAGAAGAAAATGAAAAAACGAAAAGAAAAGCTTTTGAGACGAATATTAGATGCTCAATGGTTAGCCCTTTCAACCTTTTTTAGGTTCATTATTTTATTTTTATTCTCTTTTCTTTTTTTTTATTTTTTTTATTTAATTTTAAGAAAATGAAAGAACGAAAAGAAAAGCTTTTGAGACGAATATTAGATGTTCAATGGTTAGCCTTTTTAACCTTTTTTAGGTTTATTATTTTATTTTTATTCTCTTTTCTATTTTTTTATCTTTTTTATTTAATTTTAAGAAAACGAAAGAACGAAAAGAAAAGTTTTTGAGACTATTATTAGATGCTCAATGGTTAGCCCTTTTAACCTTTTTTAGGTTCATTATTTTATTTTTATTTTATTTTTATTTTTTTATCTTTTTTATTTAATTTTTTCATTTTCATTTTTTTATTTTCATGAATAAATATTTCAATAAAAATTAAAAAAATTGTAGAACATGTGAATTAGGTTAATCTAATTTTTTTTATTTATTTCATTTTCTTATACATAAATAAATAAATTTATTATTTAAATATATTTTTAAAATCAGTTCAATCATTAATATATGAAAACTATTTTAAAATGCATGATACTTGATCATTTGTAAAATTAAAGCATAACTTAAATATGATTGTGTTGTATGTTTTGATCTTAAGCTTAATTGAGTTTGAGTATTATTTTGATGCCAATTAAGATATTTAATTAATTTTTTAATTAAAAATTATTTGCATATTATGAAAAGAGAAAAATGAAGAGAGAGATAGAGAAATAAAAGAAATAAATAATATAAAAGCTCTTATAAAATAATGAGAGGAAAGAGAGAACAAATCAAAAGAAAAAGAAATAATAAAGAGATATAGAGAGAAAAAAAAAGGAATTGAGGCTAAGATAGAAAGAGTGAGAAATGGAGGAAGAGGCAAAGATTGAGACAGGGAAGGATGAAAAAACAAAAAAATGAAAGGTATACAATTAGTTATTTTTAGTTCTAGAAAGATAATAGTGAAAAGAGAGAGAAATAGTGACAACATTGGATTAGTGAAGAGAAATGAGGTTAGTTAAAGCATAAAGAAGTTATTGAAATAGATATTTATTCAATTTGTTTCATTTTTTCTTTTGTTTTTTATTTCATTAATGGCTCAATTATCCCAATTAATTTCAAGATCCCTTTATACTCTATCTTTCTTTCAATATCAGGTCAATTAAATACTTAAAATTTTTAATTTTTTAGTTAATTAATTGGGTTTTATTTGTTTAATTAGGTAGTGAAATTTTATATAAAAAATTAAATTGTTCTTACCATTTTAGTGAAGTAATGATAGAAAATAAGGGAAATTTGACCTCTATTATCACAAAATAGGTTTTTTATTTCAAGTATAGTGAGTACTCAATAGAATTGAGGCTTACGAGAAATATAAGGTTGTAAAGGGCAAAGCTTTTATAGCTTGGTGTCATTGCCATTGCAATCCTTTTGGTAATTTAACTTTCACTTTTTCTTTTTGTTATGGATTTGTTGTATTAATAATTGGGTCTAATTGTGAAGTCCTTGAATTTTAAGTGCATCTAGATTTGATCATATAAGGTGATTTAATGAGGAAAAGAAAAAAGAATGTGAGAATTTGTTTTGTTTTTATTAAGTATTAATTTGTAGTAGCTGTAAGTATATTTGAAATGTAAAATGGGATCTAAAATTTATTTTTGTATCCATATTTTCTTGCATGTGTTTTTCTTAAGTTATTTGTTTAATATTTGGTTATTCTTTAAATTGATTATTTGTTTGTTTTCTTTTTCAGATTGTACTCAATTTAATAGAACTAATTTAAGTATAAGTGAAATTATTTTTTATTTTCTTTATTGTTTATCTTAGAATTGATTTTTTTTATCAAAGTATTGTTGGTTTTCAGAAATTTCTAAATAGATATGAAACTTTTTTAGGTTTTAGATTTTTTTTTTTACAAATTGAAAATTCAATTTGTTTGAATTTATAATGTTGCAATTTTAAATTCAAATGAAAATTCAACTTGTCTTGAAAGTTATTTTCCATTCATTTTTTGACCTTATTTTGATTTGAAGATAACCATTGTACAAGTTTATCTTAAAGAAAATGGTTGCTTCATGTAGTTAGTCTAACAAGTCATCTAAACATGGGATAAGAAAGTGATAGTCAACCATGTTGACTACTTTACTATTCACATACATGCATCATGATCCATCTTTCTTGAGCACTGAAAGGACTATGACTACACAATGGCTTATGCTTTCATGCACCATTCTTTTTTTTACCAATTCATCAACTTGGCACTACAACTTTTCGTACTCTTTGGGGTTTATTATACAAGTTACCTTATTGGGTAGAACAACCCATAGAATAAGGTCTATGTAATGTTGAATATCCCTCATTAGTGGTAGACTAATTGGTATCTCCTCTAGGGACGACGATCTAACCCGTCCCCAATGGGTTTTGGCCTAACCCGACCTTATGGGGTTGATTTTTTTTTTTTTAAATTCGAGTTTCGGGTCAAGTCGGATTGAGTAAAGTTAGAAAACAATCAGAGTGGGTCGGGTTCGAGTTTGCCTAAACTCGACCCGATCCGACCAGATATTATATAAAAAATTATTTTTTAATTAATTTTTTAATTATATATATATTTATATAATGATATTTTTAAATATTTATATTTAAAAAATAATATTTTATATTTTAAAAAATAATATTTTATTAATTTCGGGTCGGGTCGGATCGGGTATGATTACATAGTATCAGGTTTGGGTATGAAAAAATAAAAAAAATTTCGGGTAAGGTCGGGTTCGGGTTTAATAAAGCATAAAGTCGGGTCGAATTCGGGGCAAGCAAAACCCGTCCCGAACTCGACCTGATGCCAACCCTAATCTCCTCTTAAACAATATCATAAAATTCTCCAACAATGGCTTTATGATTTTAGAAAGCTTCTCACTATCTTCATTTTTTTCATTTAGCATACGCATACATACTACCACATCTTTTAATCTCCCTTCTGCAATCAGCCTTGATAAGCAAGCTGCCTCTTTCTCATTTAGTTGGCTTTAACATAACTATTGGCTTAGTAGGGCCTAAGATGATTTTACAAGTATTTTTGACAAATGTGTAAATATTGCATTAATTATCATAAAAGACTTTCCTATCATAATGCCAAAGTCTTCCAAGTAGAAATGCCAAAAATCCATTAGAGCTAAATCACACCACACTTTGTCCTTGTATTGCTTTCTATGAAACAAAGAACCAAACACATTTTACTAACTTGATTTCATTCCCTTTTTGTAGCCAAGACAACTTGTATCGTCGGGGATGATCCATGATTTTTGTAGGGAGTGGAATTTTTAAAAAAATTAATTTCTTAAAGCTAATTCAATCAAAAATATTATACAAACAATATATATATATAAGCATGTCTAGTTTTGGTTAAAAGTGTTACCTTGAATATGAAAAATGCCTTGGTTCAATTTGGTAACCTTCTAAATAGATTTCAAGCTAAGAAGTTGCCTAAATGCTCAACTCTAATGGTGATCCACACAAACTTTTTTAAAAGAACATTTTTTTAAGGTTTAGTGAAATTCAAAGCCACATTCTAACTATTAAATGTTTTTAAGACCTCTTGTATTTTCTTGAGCAAAACTTCTTTCTTTTAATTTTTTCTTGATTTTTCTCTATATGTTTAGCTAAATGAGGGGGTGGCTTAATGTCCTTTTCATAGCGAAGCATTTGACCGCATTTGGTTTAATGCTTTGAATGCAAATTTTCATCATTAACCTTATGCTAGCCAAATGAACCAAATGAGGAAAACTCTTTCTCTTAGTTTTATTTCCTCTATATTAATTCACAATTAAGCTTTAAAACAATTATAAACTCTTATATCACTTTGACCAAAGATTTTTCAAGATAATTCAATCAAAACTAATTGAGATACTCTCTTAATCATATAAGGTAATGAATCTCATCTTAATTACTTCATGCATCTTCATTTTTCTCATGTTATACCTAATAATATTTGATTGGAGCATTCTTGGTTAGAACCGTAAGTAAAGTAAAGTCAAAGTATAACATTTATCATATGAGATCATAAGTAATCTTAAGTCAAAAGATCACTTATATAACTATCACATGAGAATGTAAATATAGACTCTATGTGAACTACCATGTAGTATTCTCATATTAGGTTATGTTCAATGAATTTGTTCTTATAATAAGCACTCACATGTTAGCTCAAGTTTATCCAAACTTTAATCTATAAGATCAATTGCTTACTTCATAAGAGTATAACCATGTGCTAGTCTCAACGATTTTTGTTAATATCATCTTATTGATAAAATATCAACCAGGAACAATTTTGGAATATATAACTTTTATGCAATGATAATCTCATAATTATAATCTCATTATAATTCCCTTGCAAAACTTTATTTATATTTCAAAAACTTTATCATATAAGCATCAATATTGAAATATATATACATACGCTAAATGATAAAGAACTAAAAGCTTTATAAGATATCAAATATCAAAGTATTAAAAATATGACTATTTTAGCCAAAATATGATTCGACTTGAAGGACAAATACCAATAAATTTTTTTTTTATATCCCTCAAATTTTGTTTTCAAAGCATGTTCCAAAAGCTGGAAAAAAATTTTCCCATAATTTTAGCAATTTCCTTAAACTTCTTTTTTATGAATGAGTGAAAAAAATATTACTGCAAATTTTCTTTTATAGTGCCATTGAAAAAAGTTTTTACATAACTTATTTTAGTTCAATTCAACATAAGAAAATTATTTGCAACAATATCATTTTCTTTTTCTCAAATTTCTCACAAACCAAATAAAGCTTAAAATTTTGCTTTTATTTCAATTTTATCCATTTGAAAATATTGAAGAAAAAGAAGTTATTGATTTCTATAAATGAAACTAAGGGCTACTATGAAAAAAGAGCTTTCAATAGCCATATCCAAATGTGTGAGCTTTTTCTTTATCTTGTTTGTAACTTATCCTCTTATCAATTTCTTTAAATAAAACCCAAGCTTGGAAGCTTGAAAAGATTGACCTTTTGGTGGTTCAATACG